GCATCGATGGTTTGAAGCCACAATCGATACTATCGCTCCAAAAAAATTGTTTTTTATTTTCTTTAATTGTTGATACTATCGATAGTATCGATAGTGACCACCATCGATATCCAAAAACATCGATGGTGTCCACTATCGATTTTTTAACAACCCTACTAAAAACTAGTATTTTTACTAATTATTAAGAAGTGTTTATTCTTTAGCTCTAATTCTAAACCAAATAAGCTATTTGAATTGAAAGTAAGAATTTAATACTTACCTTATTAAGATATTTTTGAAATTATGTTCTGTGATCATTTTTTTTTCGGTGTATATTTTTGTTTTGCCAGTAAACACGAAATTCTACAAAAATTTTGAGGTGTCACTGTCAAAGCGGCTTTAAAATGAAAATATAATAAATTACCTCTCGTTTTATCTTTGAAATTCGATATCCATTTAAGCTTTTGATTGAAAACAATTAACAATTATCATTCACTTAGCTGCAAGGGTCGAATCACCACTCACAATGTGGCACATCGCACCGTAATTTGGCAGAAATTTCGCATTTGGATTTTATCTGCCATTAACCAATGAACCGAAAGGATAACTAGCATCTCGAAACCATCAATTAGATTCGCCCACATCCTCTGAAAGTCCCTCTGCACATATAGGTAGCACATACATATGTGCATGCACATATATCCATTTGCATTCCATGGCCATGAATCAGCAGGGTGGTTCGGCTCATGCCTAATCTTATTTACCCTTGGAGCCCGAATGTAAATTTTGCAATTTGAGCACGATAACAAGGTTGATTGCGGCCGATGGCTTAATTCCCATTACACACAGAAAATGGCAGCCAAAGAAAAAAATGGTCCGAGAGTAAAAAGTGAAATGTTTACAGCAATACCGAGAATGCAATCTGCAAATGCAGTTTGCTTGTAGAACAAAACCCGACCGGATCATCTGTACAAGCATTTCCATTAAAGAAATCCTCATGCTAATGCCGGGCATTCCAAGGCCGGGATTCCATTTCGTTCAGCACCTCCAGGATGGAATGTGTATCCCGTCCCAGAATTGCCCAATGTAGGGGGCTCCAAAGGCAAAACTGGCTTAAAAGTAGCACCTAAAGTGAAAGGGAAGCTATAAAAAAATGATTCAAAAATAATATATAAATCAGGGTGCTCAAAACTCGAAACCTGCAGTGCTGACAGTGACACAAAGAAGAATCAAAGTGTGCCCAATGCAAGATAGGCGTGTGACCGCAATTAAGATGTTTGCTCTTCCTGCGTAGACATATTTAAATTAAGAAATACCAACTAAAGTCGATTACGAAAACATTAGAAAGGACCACCACTTCCGGGTTCAATACAAGCCACAAATAAAAGTGCTATAAAAACATTAGAGGCATCAGAGCAACTTTACCATTAAGAACCATGGCAAAATTGAAATGACAGCAATTCCAGCAGCATGTCAGCAAAAACTTTGTCCACAAACAAAAAAGAAGGTTGAGTTTTTCTTGCGCAATAAATGGCAAAGCAACGGAATCCAAATGCAGAAATGGCCATAAAACTAGAAGCGAAATTGTTCGAAATACCTGCAGCGAGATTGCAATAAGCAACAAAATCAACTTGCGAGGCAACATCGGGCGCTCAAAGTAGAACTGGGACATGTTTATTAGTAATTCTCATTCTGGAAATTAAATCAGCAACACAATCAGCAATTGGTGGACAACACAACGCATTCAAAGCGATTTTATAAGCAATTTGTTCGAAAACAATAAGCCAAACACAAGTAGCATGAAAAGCAATATAAAATAAATTTAAAATGTTGCAATCAAAAAGCAAAACAAGAAAGGAAGCTAGCTTCGGTTAGCCGAAGTTTATATACACTTGCAGATCGACTTCGGGTTTTTTTAGAGTGGTTTTCAGATAGGGAGCGTCTTCGAATTGAATTAAGTTCATTTTTGATCAAGTTAAGACTAAGAAAAATCGTATCTTTACCAAAAATCCGCAATTACAATTTTTGACTAAATAAATCAGTATTTTGGACGTTACAAAGCAAATAATAGTCCGATTATGAAATGGAATACCTGGTCGAACTCTTAATTAAATTCCCAATCGATTGGCATTCAAACCTTAAATATTTGTAATTTTTCGCAAAAAATATATGAGAAAATTGTTTTCCAAATCTTTTGGATCAATTAATCTTCTAAACATCTTAATCTTCTTCGATTTTGGAACACTTTTTGGCAATTTACGGAGAAAAATCACAAAGAAAAAGAACGGTTAATAACTTCAGCAAGCTGAAGCTTAAATATGCTTCCAGGTTTTTTATTCGCTAAAATTTAATTCGAAATTCTAAAAAGATAAAAGAATGATATTCTCCAGAAAGGATGATAAATGTCAAAAAAACAATGATTCTATAATTTTTTACAATATTCTTGCAAGTTTCTGACTGAAATCAATGTAGCCTCTGCAAGGGTATAAAAATGAAATATAAATACATTGCCTGAAATGCTTTTTTAGATTAAATGCAAATGCAGAAAAAACAAGCTGCAATAACAGCGAGATGCAAATGTTACTTAAATTGCTGCAAAAATGGCATCTTTAATTTTTAATAGCACAATGGCCAAAAACGGTTTATTGTAATAGCAAATTAAAAGGTTTACAAATAAATTACTTGTATTAGATAACAAGAAGATAAAAATATTAAAAACCAAAAGACAAAGAAATAAAATATTATGAGAGTTACAAAACAAATTAAAGGAAAATGTTTAAGAAAATCGAAATGGAACTAACAGTCGGAAAAAAGAAACTAATGCCGCTTATAATAAATAAATGAAATGAACTTTGCAGCAACCTGAAAAATCAGCCACTTGAAAAAATCACTCAGCTGCATTGTTTGCCATTTGCTGCAATTATTATTTAATTTTTCGTGCGTTTTTTCTTTGCGGGCATGGGTTTTCCCAGCGTTTGTTGTCAAAAGGGAAGCCCGATCCCCTTCAGAAACTGCAGCCACTGTCAATACATTAAGAATGTTTCCTCCTTAGTTCGATAGTTGCCATAAATATTTAATTTTCATTTTGCCATCGCTGCCCGAGGAAACTCTCCCACTCAGCTGGCAATCTCTTTATTTCCCGGGCTAATTGAGGGATTATGCGGAGAAGGCGAGGTAAATATGAAATTTGAATCTCAATCAGAAGCTGCAGCTGCAGCTGTTGCAGTTCCACACAAAACGAGAGATCAGGACTTATTTCAATTTCAAATTAGTTTTCCTTCTTCTTGCGAAAGTGTTGCCATTTCGCATGCCATTTCTGTTTTTGGCCGCAATATTGATTTAAATATACAAAATGCCAAGGCATGTTTGTGCACATATTTTTGCTCCGCTTTGTTTTGTTTTGTTTTAATTACTGCAAATTCGGTAGACTTTTTGGGTGAGTGGGTGAGTTGGGCATTTGTTTGCTTTAATTATAAATAATATTTAATCTAGATATTTCGCATTCGAATGACCGCCCAGAATGGATGTAAGCCTTATTATTATTATTACTACTAGTGTTTATTATTATTATTGCTATTTTTGTGCTGCTGCCGCTGCGGCTTAAGTGCATAAATAAACAGATTTTAATTTAATTATTATGAAATGCATTTGCCCCAGGCCAGGTTCCATTATTAACGGCATTCGATCCGCCATCCAACGATGATAATAATCATAATGATGACGATGACGATGGGGAGCTGCGGCCCATAAATCTGGTGTCGTGTAAAATGCAAAATATTGCCGGCCAAAACTGGCACACACACGTTCTGACCTTATTAGCTGCAGTTGACCAAATCGAATTAGACCCCTGGGTGAAAGCGTTTGGCAAACAAATTTTCGTTTCGATTCGATTCGTTTACCCGGTACATTGAAATTGTCCGGCTCGGTTGATCCCGGTTAATGCCTCCCCGGGGGGTAAAAATATAAACGTAAAAGGTGGAGATCCGCTTGTATTCAAAAATATGCAGATGCACCGCATGACATTGATATTCAGACAGAGAGTTCAACCATTGTTGCATGGTATATGAGGCTTAGGAACCACGGACATTAAAGTAATCCGATAACAAATCCGATTATAATCTCCAAACACACTTGATCAGATACCAAATAGGTTTATTAGCTCATTAATTATATAATTTTAGTTATTCAGTACTACTTAAAATTTGTTTTATTAAATAAAACTTAAATTTGTAATTAATTTGTTATTCTTAGTCTTATTGATTGTTTAGCTTTTTTCTAATTTGTTACATTTACTTACCACTTTGCTTAAACTTAAATATTTTCCATAATGATTTGGCACTTACCAACCACCAACAAAATAATCAAAAAATTCAAATAATTTAATTAAATGACCAAAAGTTTAAAAGTTCCAAATAACTATCTCGGTATTGTCTTAAGTGATACAAAAATGTCCATAAATTTAGACCAACAACTTTATTAAGTGGTTTATGATAAACTATCGATAGACAACATTTAGATTTTGTTGACAATCGAAAGAAATCAATCGAATAAAAAACATGGCTCTTATAAACTCGCAACAATAAAATGTACTACTTATTTACTACATCTATTGTTAATTACCCAATAACCAAGAGTCGATAACTCAATGACTACCACTCTGGATTTTGACTAAAAAATTGAGAATGGCTTTTTTCCATTAACTGGCCACACACAAAACCCCAATGAACTCGACGATTTTAATGAAAATGTAAGAGCCATTGAATTGCCATTAGCCCAACAAATCACACAGACAAACTTACACACACACATATTTAGTTGTATCATCTATCAGCAGACTTAAGAACTCTCCTTACTTTATCCCTTTTGCCCCAGGCGCTTAATGTTTGATGTTTCCTTCTCGCATTACAGTTTAAATAATCGAAAACCCCCCAAGGTTTTTCCCCGAAAATGATCCTAGTGTTTGGGTCGCGGAAACCGGAGATCGAAGGGAATATTAAACCAATTATTATAAAGAAACTTACCTTTCCGAAACCGAAATGGGATATGACACGTGTGATTTGATTTTGGCTTGAAGCGGGTTTTTTCTTCTTTTGATTATTTGTATTGTGTTTGGCCCTTTTAATATTCACCGGCCATTGCCATTCAATTTGTTTGCCATTCATCAATGGGGTAACCGAAAGCCAACATAGCACACACTCTCTTTCACACACTCTCTGCACTGGGCTATGGTCTTTTGCCTGGGTTATTTGTTGATTTCACTCAGCAGTAGTAGTTGTAGTACACAAATCGAAGCCAAAACAAACAAGAAAAACAGTAAAAAAAAAGTGGAGGAACAGGAAGTAGCACAGCGGATTGGTAACAAAAACCGGGGGCCAAATGAAGAAACGCGCGAAGAAGACGACTCACAACAAACAAGAGGAAGACGTACGTACGACTGCGAGACTACGACAAGAACGAACACGACGGTACGAGATACGAGATACGAGGAAAAACACTGCCGCACTACGGTTTGCCTTCTGTGGGTCAAATAACACGCATACGCACCGTGGACCGCACGAAATACGCATACGCACCGTTGGACCGCTGCTCGACAACTGGCGCCGCCGACGATGCGAAGCGCTGCAGATACCGACGTTAACTGCACTCGCCGATATTTTGGCCAGGCGAATGAATCCGCACGCATCGAGGACCGAGCACTGGGACCCCACCTCCACCCCCCAGTTCTTTCGACTGGCAAAAACGACCCACGACAACGCACGAAGCTCGCAGGTTCGCCTCGGGTTTTTCCCGAACCGAAACCGTGCATGTCTGCGCATGTCACTTGGCCAAGACTCACGACAACTCATCCGGGGCCAAACTCAGTCTCCGGCTAAGCCACAAAATTGGCGCGCAATTTCAATTAGTTGATGTTCCTCACTCACATCCATCCATCTGCGCGTTTCTTTAGCTTCCCCTCCCCTTTCTTAGCCGGCTTTTCCGGCTTTTCCGGCCAGACGTCTGTTGCTCCTCGCCGCCTCGAAAGTTCAGGGCTCTGGCCAAATTCCCGACCCTGTTTATCGGTGCTTATTCGGTTTAATTTGGCATTTAAAGAGGACACGTTCAGGCACTCGATGATGGAATCTGATCACAATTTGCCGCCAAAACGACCTGCACACTTATTTTCCGTCTTAAGTTTTCCCTAAATAGGCTTCACAATTAGTGCACCGAACGAAAAAACTTTATTACATTAAAATCACAGTTTTTATTCCCCTTTTATTTCCATTTGTTGTATGTTAGAGTGGTTTGTTTTCCTTTTCCATCGCAGTGTGACCGTTTTCTGATCTTCACATCTTTCTTGGCTAATTACACTGTGCAACAAAATTACTGCTTTTTAAATTTTCCCAAGTTAAACTGCGTTTTCCAAAAAGTTCACGTTTTATGGCTATATCGGAAGTAATTTATTTCTTCTTTAAAAAAAAACCTAAAATTATTCTGAGTATGAGGTTTGAATGATAAAAGCTTTACCATCAAATGAAACCATGAATCCGTTTGTCTCTGATACCTCCGTGAAGGTGGCCAATTTCAGCATTTTTCGAACTTTGAGGTCCTTTTGCTAAGAATCGTTGCGTCAGGGAACTTTATGGAAAACGCAGTTTAGCAGTGGAATTCGTAACGAATTCAAAACAATAGCATCCATCGAAGTAAATTTTTGATGTTGCATAGTGTTATTAGTTCAATTAAGATTCTCATCAAACCGGAACAGCCGATTTTGAACAGAATAATATTACTTATAAATAGTTATAGACAGAAGTTTTCATTCTATCAAACCTATTCAATAGACTGCTAACAACATTTTATGATGTATTGGCTAAGTATGCATTCTATTATATGGTAAAACTAAAGTTTACATGTTTTTATTTTTCCATAAAAAATATACTGAGAAATAAAAAAGTATATAAAAATCACGTATACGAAGTGTAGGCCCGCTGATATACAATTGTATGTATTGAACAGTCTCTAAAGTGCATACACTTTAAAATTTTAAAATTTTTGCTATTTTCCTTTGTTTTGATCTATGTATATAGAGATTCGTTTATATTGGAAATGGGATAAAATTGCAACGGTTTAAGGTTGAAAGCAGGTTGGGAACTGCTATTATTGTGAATACAGCTGTTTGAAATATTTAAGGCATTGCTCATAGTCAGCATTTGCTTGACTATAACTTTTTTTTAGTATGTGTCACACAAAAAAAAAACGGAGACAGAAGCTCTACTGGCTAGGCTACGTCCATCTGTTAATAGGCATGAAATAAACATCGACTTGATTTTTTTATTCGAGCGGAACAAATGAGTTGACAAGTTATGGAAGAAAGAAAAAAAATTCGATTCGTACAAGTTATTTTACTGAAACTTTGGGACCGTTGCGTACCGCCTAAACCTTAAAATAATTTTTTTTCGTTTTCGCTTACATTTATTGGACACGGAAACCTACCATTTCAGATGCTGAGCTCAATCGACCTTAAAAAAGTCCACCCTTATGTACATATATGTAGGATAAATTAACTGAAGTGTTTTGTAATTAAAGTACTAAATTTTATTAATTTAAATTTATCAATATTTTTAAATATTTAAATTTATAAAGTCAGATAATTTTTTAAACTGTTTAACTCTTTCGTAATTTTCTCCAGTGTCCCTGGAAAGTGTTTTTGAGCATGTGTCGTGGAGGCATTTTCGCTGCCTATCCGACCAACCGAGGCAGCTCTTTTTTGGTTAATGAAAACTTGCCACTGATGGCGGCCAAAGAAAATGCAGAAAAGCGAGGGAAAGGGGGTTGAAAGTGGTGGGGATTGGGAAGAGCAGCCGCTGAAGGAGCTGGCCCAGCTGACAAAGCCCGAGCTAAAACAAAGGACCCCACAATGGCTGACAATGGCAACTTGTCGGGGTTCCGTGGGTTCAGGGGGGTTTTCAGAGGGGCTTCAGGCTTTCCGGGGAGCCCGTGAGCTAGCTGAAAAAAGACCAACTCTCACAATAGATGCCACCACCCCCCCTGCTGTCACCGCTTTTATACCCCACATGGCGTGAAATGTGGCATTCAAATAAAGGAACACTCTAATAAGGCTTCCTTTTGTTATCGATAGAAAAAAAGCCAGCCATCCTCTCGAGGAGGAAGTGCAGCCAAAAGTGTGGGTCACGGGATGCAGAGATAGGGATGTCACCTCCTCCTCGAAAACCGGAGGAGTCGCATCTGCCAAGTGTGAACTACTAGTAGTGGTAGGAAAAAAAGCGGCAAAAAATGGCAACAAAAAAACTGAAAAGTAATTTCCGGTTGCGCGTGACGAAATCAGCGGAGGGGTTAATAAAAAAAAGCGAAAGAAGTGAAAAAAGCGTGGGGAAAACGAAAAAAGAAAGTGCTGAGTGGAAGACACAGTAACTGGTTAATATCTGGCTGCAGCAATTTGACGACGAGCCAAGATTGCAACAAAAAATATTCCAAACGATGCAAATACAGTTGAAACAAAAGGCAAATTAGGCAGGCACCAAATGTACAGTCACAGCAAAATGTTTCCTTGTTGTAGGTACTACAATTTAATTTAACAAAAAGAGAAAACAGGTAAGTAAAAGAAAAAACAAAAATGAAAATAATAAAATTAAAAATTATATAACAGTTAAATTCAGATCCTAAAAAATGCTTTAAGTTACTATGATTAATATCGTTGGATATAATATTTTCTACCTTGACTAAAACAACAATTTATTAAATCAATTTTTAGGTTATTTACATAAATCGAATATATAATACGAAATTCTGAATTCCATAAGCATATATTTCTTTTTAATATGCTTTTTTTTAAAAGCTTTATTTACCGAATGTTTTAAAAATTCCATTTACTTCTTTATTTGTAATTAAACATTAATATAAAAAAAAACCTATAAAAGGGGTTCAATAAATCGAATCTCCTGCCAAAATTGGCCATGTTAAGAAAGCGTTCAATACAAGCTTGCATGTGGCATTAGCCGACTTTTGAGCCCAAAAAGAAGCTGATTAGCATGGCTGCTGTCACTCGGGCTCTAATTGCAGCTCAATGCCGCCGGTTGGCACGCGTATCCAGTCGGGATTCGAATGCAGGATGCGGGATTCAGGATGTTGGATGTTTTGTGCAGGATGCGGATTGCAAAATTCAAAACCGTGCATCGAGCATCGAGGAGGCAAACACACACAAGTCGCCTGACAATATTCCCCAAACAACAATGGCTGGCGGTGGCAAATGCCAAATGCCGAATGCCAAATGCCAGCTCAACCCCAAAACCCGGCGAATTTTGCAGGGTGCCGAATGAAGGGGGAAAGTCGGGGGTTCGGGGGTTTCCCATCTCAAAAAAGGTGTTCCGTATGTGTGTGTGTGTTCTGCGAATGCTCATAATGCGCTGCTAATGCTAATAAGCATTTATGTGTCTGTGCCGCAGGCTTCGTCTGCAGCAAGGACTCAGCCAGCCCCTGTCACTCGTCCATTGTCCCTGCCAATTCCGGCGAATAATTCCAACCATTATGGACTAAATTTGGTTATCAAAAATTGAATACATTTTTAAAATATTTTTTAAACATTTTTCGAACTTAAAACCGAAATAACTTTATTAAAAACCATATAAGAAGTAAAATATTCATCCCATTTTACTTTAAACGTGGGAAATCATTCATTTTTATTATACAATTTATATTTACTTTAATTAAAATTATTTAATAACAAAATATCTATTTTAATTTTCTATGATTTATTAAATTACTATTTAATAAAAACAATTTAAATATAAATCAAATACACCATATACATTTTTTCCAATTTGTTTTTTTAGATAAGCTAGTTTCCAGTAGGCAATTATGGGTTTAAATTCATTTCGAATACCGAAAATGCATTTTGATTCCATCCTTTGCTGTTGCCTAACAAGGCGTTATTATCCCCGAGAAAGCTCATCTAGTGATTTCTGAAGCCCTCGAAGCGAGACTGCTTGTGGGAATATCCCTTTGGGTGATTCATAATCTCCTTAGTCGAGACAGAAGCTGTCGGGGACTATGACTTCGGAGCGAGAACGACTGCGACTACGTTTCTACGTTTCTACGTTTCTGACTGCGTACGAGGTTCGCCTTAAATGCGCTTCAAAATTACATTTTATTAACGCACGCACAGGCGAACAAACACAAGTAAGCACGCAATAGATGTGCAGACGCAGAACCACAGCTGTAAGCACAAAAATAGCACCAACTAGTTCTTATTTAGTTTTCGTCAAAAGATTATCTTACCAAAATAGCAATATTGAATTGGTTTCGTCTCTTTAATAATAGGTTTCGTTATTTAATTTATTTATTTATTTTTTTAAAGAATTCTTAAAAACAAATTTAAAAATTAAAAACAAAATTGCAACTTACAAATATTCTCAGTTATGGATAAATATAACTTATGCTATAAATTTTCCAATGACTCCGGAAAACAAACATTTTCAAATATTTTATCACATTTGTTAAATAAATAATAATAAATGGGGTCCCAATGCTATTATGCTGACCACTTCTGTTGATTTAGATATAGATATATATATATAGATACCCGCAGATCCTTCGGCTGCAGACGGTCCCTGAGTA